CTTTGCATGTTGAAGGTCAACCTGGACTACGCAGTAAGTTCAAGGCCAGCCTCAAATACATTGCAAAACCCAGCCTCAAAAAACAAAATCTCAGATAATTAAAAATAAAGCAAAAATGTTGACAAAACATAAAGACAACCAAAATGAACAGCTCCATTTTAAAAAAAAAAGGAAGGATTTAAAATAATACAAGGGCATTTTCTATAGCTATTAAAAGAAATCTATAGCTATCATCTATAGCTTAATGATGACAGGCTGAATGATTTGTCCCCCAAAACTGGGAACAAATAAAGAAATGTTCTGAAAGTCCTAGTCAGTAAAACAAGGCAAGAAAAATAAAAACCTGCTAACTATACAAATTGGAAAAAGCAAATAAAACTATCTAGGTTCACAGATGTTACTGTCTATATAAAAATATCACATAAAATTATTTTAAAAAGCATTATCACTAGTTAATGAATTTACTAAGGTCACAAGGTAAGAGGTCAACATAGAAATATAAATTACATATCGCCAGGCAGGGTGGCACACACCTATAAATCTAGTACTTGGGAGGCTGAGGCAGAAAGATTGCCACAAATTCAAGCCTAGCCTGGGCTACTTAGTGAATTCAAGGACAGCCTACACTAACTAGCAAGACTCTGTCTCAAGTCATTCACATGGCTGACACTGACAAAGGATCTACAAACTGCAATACAGGATTTCAGGCCAAATCCTGAGGGGATTGGACTGACCTTGTCAGATACAAAAGTTATATTTCTTGTTATATAGGTCTTGCTTTATCTTGCTCTTAACCATCCAGCAGAAAAGTATAAAAACCAGCTATAAAAAGTAAAGCCATATTAATATGCTGAGCTGTAAAAAGCTCAAATCACCAACTTATGACATTGCCAGTCCTATGGATAACCCACTACTATTATGGACTACTGGACTATATTGGATTATTTTGCTGAATTCACACACTTATAATATTTAATTGGCAAGGGAATGCCCATCTCTGACAAACCTAAACAAAAAAAGGGGATACAAAGGAAGGACCATTTTGTATCTGTATGTACAAAATAGTTAGGATAGATATACAGCTACTTTCTCTTAATTCAATGAGAAGAAATATTTGTACTAATAGTGTTTAGACAGGATATCATGTCTGCATCTTGTACTATGAATAACATCTACGAAGACAACAATATGCAATGTATTAATTATTGAAACTCTCTTAAATCGGTTTTGAAACTGTCTCATTACTATTTGTTTCTCAATAAAATTAATTTTTTTAAAAAAAGAAAAATAATGGCAATAAAAACTACTCAAAGGGCTGGGGAGATGGCTCAGTGGAATAAGTGCTTCCCTGGCAAGCGCAATGGCCTGAGTTCAATCCCTGGTTCCACAAAAAAAAAAAAAAAAAAAAAAAACAACTACTCAAAATGAAACAAAAAATTTTAATAAAAAGAACTTTGTGAAGTTGTAGACAATATTAAGTGGCCTGAAGGATGTGTAAATAGAATCCTTGAAAAAGGGGGTAAAGGAGAGATAGAAATAATCTTAGAAGAAGAAGGAATAGCCTATTGATATGTACAAAATAAATTCAAAAATAATTACGTGACAGAAGTC